AACATGGACGTGTCAAATCTGACACCGCAGTGGAGGAAGATCCGCTCGTGTCCGCCATGGAGTCGATGTCTGCGCTAGGGCAGCGACGGTCAGTGAAGGCGGTGTCGGTGATGCGCTGTGGCGACCGGTGGTGAAGGCAGTGGAGTCCGGTGGCGACGCGGCTGGTGGCTTTCCGTCACTGACTGCGCGCCCTCTAGATCGGATTAGGGTTTATCGGTGGGAAGCTTGACTCAGGTCAACCTTGTGATAAGGGCCGTCGACCCCCACCTCTTTTTATAGCGCAGGGTGACAGAGGCCCTCCAGCCATGGTGGGCTGGGCGCCCCCGATCAAGACACGAATCAAAGGCCCAACTAAATCGTTGGATCTAGTCTGGATTAGAAATCAATCTAACACGAGACACTGCAGATAACACTGAGGTGCTGTTTGGTTGGAGCTTTATGGCCCGTTATCCATTCACGCTGCAATCAATTTGGCGCGTGTTCAGTTCCTCCCCAAAATCCCAAAAAGTACTACAGTACCTGTCACATCGAATGTTTGCGACCTATGCATGGAGCATTAAATGTAGACGAAAAAAAACTAATTGCACAGTTAGTTGGAAAATTACGAGACGAACGTTTTGAGCCTAATTAGTCCATGTTTAAACACTAATTGACAAATAAAAATGAACGTGCTATAGTAGTCCCAAATTGCAAATTCGTGGAACTAAACACGGCGTTGATTGCGTTGCTTCTCGTTTGGTTGAGGTGGGCCAGAGTCTGTTCCCACGTAAATAGATACAGGCCTTCGCAATTGCTTTGCCGCTCCTCCCCTCCATCGGCGTCATCCGGTACCTGCACGTGACTTCCCCTCCGCGTAACTCCATGACGCCAGCAAAAGCAGCAACCAAACAAGTTACGTTGTTATTCATTACTCTGCAATAGGTGGCAGCTTGAATCAATTCCATTGCCATTCCCTTACTTTCCGCTGAACCAAACAGCACCTAAGATTATATTGGTTGGAAACAAAGGTTTGTTATTAGCCATACCATATCTCCTGTTCTCCTGTGGTGCGGCGGTGGCATGATGCAGCGGGTTCGACGGCCGCGGCCGCCGGCCGGCCAGGGGTTGCTCGCCTGCTCTGCTCCTCAGGGAATCAACGCAATGCTTGAAGCTGAAGGAATCGGATGAATTCAGCGGGGTGGGGGTGGATCGGTGCGTTTCAATGCGTTGCGGAAGCTGGTTCAGTTCAGGTCAGTAGATCAGGTAAGTACTGGTACCTGGCCTACTGTAGGAACTACTTGTCTTTGTTTTCGACCGCACGAATGCAGTGCAGGTGCAGGTGCAGCCGTGCAGCCGTGCAGGTGAAGGCGCAGGCGAGCTAGGCTAACATGAACAGATGTCTGTCTGATGGATGCCAACTTGCCAAGACCTGAGGACTTGCATTGTGTCACACGATCGACGATCTGACAAAGATACACTAACGTACTCTCTGTCTATTCTAAATTATAAATCATTCTACTTTTCGGAGCGTTAAAATATCTCAAGTTTGACTAAAATTATAGTCTCTGGAGACTTGGTGGAGTCAGATACTCGGTGGATACGTATCCAGCGTGTATCAGTCGCATATCCGTATCGGGATACGGGCATACCGTACCTCCTAGGCGTATCCATGCCACACAGCATCCAACTACGTCGCGTTCGGGTGTCCGGATCCAACCCCGGCCCACAGATCCTAGTCTGGGCCATGCAGATATATAGCACGACGGCGAGACCCTTCTGCATCAATACGGACGCGAAAACCGGATTCGGCGGCGACGTCGACGAGAGCACCGTCATCGACACACCCCGATCAAGGCGGCGCGCGGTCATCAGGATGGCGGGGAGCAGCATCGTCGAGACCACGGCGGCAGCAAAGGAGGAGGGCAAGCTCGATGAGCCGGTACTGGTGACGGAGAGGGTGCCACAATCTTTCATCAGGAGGATACGGACTCTTCCCACGCAGAGGCCCCGTCCTCTCACCGAAGCCTTCATCTTGAACAAACCTGAGCTCCTGCAACGGTGCCAAACTCTGAATTACAATCTCAATAAGTTGGTGGACCTGGAGCAGAACGTGCTGAGGCAGGTCGACGCCAAGGGCTACGCCGAGGTGGTGGTCAAGTACACGGACGATGGCATCAAGAAGATCTATCCTCTTCCCGGCTATTAGGCTTGCTGATGAGGAAATTGCGTGCAGGGTATCGGTGGAGCTGAGGAAGCGGGAGTGTAGCGCTTGCATGCGCTACTAATAGCTAGTTAGTTTTGCATGTTTATTATCATGCATGTTTGCTGATCGAATCATGCATGTGAGCTTTAATTAGTGTTATTACATTTAGTGTGCAAGTTTAGTTACCCTTGTGTGCTGTTTTTGTGTTTGAAATACTACATTTGCATTTAACCGAAGGCGTAGTACGTATTAGTTAAATTACTTACTCTCTTGCAAATTGTGACTGGATGAGTCCAGGATGATTTCTTTGAGTTAATGCCTCAACTCACTACTACATGTTTTTCTTTTTTTTTTCTTTGTTAGTGTCTGAATGTTGAGTGAATCGTTTCTGAAATAAAAATTTGACAATATGACGATACCTACGTGCCACTTAGACAATGGAGACAAAACAAGTATAGTTACTACTTAAAAAAAAGGTCAATATTGACATATGACACTATAGGATGTGCATTTTATTAATAAATTCGTATGGAAGCTTGATATTCAGACAGATCCCGAAAAGGGAGACCATCCATTTGGGGACCGCGGCCTTTTTTAGATTGAACATGTTTTTGAGAACACCATAACAAAGGGAACATGTTTTTGAGATTGGCTGTGAACGTGATGATATAAGGGAGACCATCCATTTGGGGGACAAAGTTTTGTACATTGCTGCTTTGGAGATTTTCGCCAAGAATGGATGGAAAAAATATTTTTTTCATTTATTTCCCTTTGTTATGGTGTTCTATTCCTTGGAGTGTAACCACTGTTCGCCTTAACAGCCGCTTAGTCTGTTTAAATAGTGTTTAAGTGGTACCAAAACCAAACTTAGGGCTTCACGGGCTCTCGGCACATGATTTGCTGGGTCCCATTGGTGCGGAGCAAGCTATGGGGCGTAGATGACGCGGATTGGTGGCGAGCTTCTGACATAGAATAATGACAGGATAGTCTGGCAGTTGAAGGCGTCCTCTGGCGATGCGCATAGCGCGGCCTGGCGGTGAGCTCCCGACACATGATCAGACAGATCCCAGGGGCACAGGAGGGAGCAACGAGGCGTAGACGACGCGGATCATGAGCTGGAACAGATTGCCTGCCAGGATGCCAAGTGGTGGTGGGGCGGGCTAGCACGGGTCGATGAAAGTGGTGGGCATTGGATTGCATGGTCGGGGCACATGACTTGGTCTGACAGTCACTAGGGCGGCGTGAAGTCAGTTCATGGACAGGCCTAGCCGCCACCATGGTGGCACGAGGACAAGGCGTGGTCCGACAGTGACGATCTGAATGGAGTTAAGACGATTTGTGCTGGCGACGCGAGGACAAGGCACGGTCCGGCAACAAAGATCTAAATGGAGATAGATGATTTGATATTGTGACCCACACTAGAACAATGACGAGGGCAGCAAATCAATAGAGAATTTACCACCTAAACGAGGGCGATGCCAAATGGTGGAGATCGATGTCCCTGGGGCACGTGGTGCGGAAGCAATGTCTTGGGCCCTAGATCAAAACTTTAACGCGTGATGGCATGTAGGAGGAATATAATTATGGAATTGGATGTTTGTATTACACTATTATTGAGCAGCAAACAGTTCCATTAGTGACAAAAACAAAAAAAGCCTTCCCATGCGGGTATTTGTTGATACAAATTAAGTGTTAGTTATGGCATCTATGCAATGTATAAACCACTATTTCCTCAAACAACAAACATCCATGTTCACAATAGAGCGAAGTGGTTTGCTACTTTCATGGAAAAAACAAACTATATGTTCTTGCAAGAAACTATACTTACAAGTTACAAAAATACCCTCGATGACATGTGCACTACACTGGAGCAATTATTATGTGCATTGTTTTGTATCAATTTTTGCTGGCAACAAGACGGTGGCGAAATTCTCCAAGAGCCCAAATGGGGTATAAGTTGCGGTAGTTGGCATAGTTGAGGTAAAATGAGGAGTTAAAGCATCCAACATGTTTCTACACAACATAAACAACTTTAATTCGACGACGTCATAAGAATCATGCAAATATTTACTGTTTAACCCCAGTAAAAGAATACTACTATTTGTAATGCTCTAATCATATGTTGGAGCAGAGTGTTCAAACATAGTGCTAGAGTTTAATCTAAACATAACACGATCATTAATAAAAATATCTCCAAACCTCTCATAATAACCATATAATTAGAGCAGCACGGGCCAGGTCTGGTGCGCAGTTTGATTGCCAGACTAACAGAAACCCATGACATGATCAATGAATAAATCTCAAATCGCAAATTCTTCAAGTAGCCATGCAACAAGCTAAACGTTCTATTATAACACATGGATATGTTTGCTAGCAACAATAACAAAAAATAAATAAAGTAAAGATAGAAAGGCGCCGGAACTTGTAATTCGTTGCCCGGTTCGGTTTTTTTAGCAGGAGAAGAGGGTCCGGTAAATCAATGAAACTGTGTTTTACCTGTACCCGTTGTACCGCCGCTCGAGATGGGCCGTTGCGCTCTGGCTCATCGTTGCCTTTTTTTTCTTATTTTTTGGGAAACGAATCGTGGGCTGTTCTGATCCTGCGCTCGAGATGGGCCGTTGCGCTCTGGCTCATCGTTGGCTGTTTTTTTTTAAATGAATCGTGGGCTGTTCTGATCTCCGAGTAGGATACATTGAAGGGAACGAATCAGGAGGAACCACGAGGACCCTACCGCGCGTTGGGAGGAGGAACCAAGAACGCAAATCACAGGAGGAACCTTGTCGAAAACGTGATTCAAATTCGATCGACAACTGAAGAGATGGCGGAAACTACGACCCCGGTATATTTCATTTATTCTCCCTGCTGTGTCTGCCTGTGTGTATATATGGTTATTAACGTCAAATCTAACATTACATTATTATATACTCCTAATTACAGGAGCACGAACAGGAGGGCGACGATGACAGGCTCAGCACCCTTCCAGACGACATCCTCCTCCTGATCCTGAATAAGCTCGACCTGATACGTGACGCTGCAAGGACCACCGTCCTCTCAAAGCGCTGGAGGCATTTGCTAGGGCTCCGTTCCGAGATCGTTCTGGACGTTCTGAACTTCGACGCTACGCATCAGGACGACGACGATTTGGAGTACACAATGGACGACCTGTTGCGGACTAACGCTTCCGTGGTCGAAGCCACAGAGATCCTCCTGCGGCAGCACCGCCGCCAGCACACCACCATCCAGCTCCTTGACATCACATTCTATCTCAGGGACGAATCCATCGGCATTGTTCGCGCCGTGGACAGAGCCATGGCAGACCACAGGATCCTCGCGGCCAAGTTCACGGTCATCCCGGACGTTCCGGACGTCTACTGCGAAGACGACGATGTTCTGCTCGCCTACGGGAGGCGCTTCATGACGTTCTTTGATGCGTACCCCCGTGCATTTACCGGTCTCAAGGACCTGAACTTACATGCTCTAAGGCTTGGCGAATCCGACATCGCTAATGTGCTTAGCGCATGCGAGAAGCTGGAGTACTCTAGCCTTGTCAACTGCGACGCAGGGATTGGCGACGATCAGTTGTCTGTGTTACAAATAGAGCATTCGCGACTTGTTGAGTTGGTGGTTATTTTTTGCGGATTTGGGACTGTTGAGCTCAAGTGGCTTCCAAGGCTCACACGCTTGACATGTCGAAATTGGATGCCTTCACAGGATCAGTATCCACTGTCAATCGGCTATGTTCCACAGCTTCTCGTGCTAACTCTAAGTAATGCTTGCACGGCTCAGCACAAAACTATTAAGCTAACTGAGTTCCTTGGTAATACTGCTGTTGCTGAACTTGATCTGAATTTCCTATGCGAAAAGGTGAGTGATAATAGTGAAATAAATTTTAATTGTTGGAAACATGTTTATATATGCTTCAGAATATTGTTTTACTGATAATAATTGTCTCTACTATAGTACTATATTTATTTGGTGTAGATTTGGAATTTTGGATTCAACCTGAAGGTCCAAAACGACTTACTCCTCTGCTGCAGAATTTGAGGGTTGTTACAGTCCGGTTTATTCATGAAGAGTATGACCTAATGTGGACATTGTTCATCTTAGAAGCCGCACCCCTCTTACATACACTTAACATACAGCTATGTTTTTCATATTTAATTTAATTTATTTAATTCATCCTAGGTATTTATTTGCATTTTTATAGTAGAGAAATGAGAATAGGATCCCTATATAAAAATGTGTTGATGTGTTATTATAAAAACAAATGTAAGGTTTTTGATACAGACACGGTGAATATAGGAACCGGATGTAAGTTGTTTTCATTTTTCCTATGTGACATTTTTTTGTGGCTACTAAGTAGTCCTCATGCTAATTTGCAGGACCGATAAACATGTCATAAGAATCAGTGTTAACTTTTGAATCTTTTGCAGATGTCATACCATATATGTTACTCAGACGAAGAGAATCAAACGGGTGAGAATACACGAGAAAACTTTGATAGGGCAGCTGATTTATTAAAATGGGAGACACGTCATGATTTCAAGCATTATAATATGAAAAAGCTCACTATCAAGGGATTTCAAGTTGAAGCAAAGTTCACAAGATACATAAGACGTGTCATGGAAGCAGCGATGAATCTGGAAGTTGTATCGCTCCGTGAAAGCCATCCATGTTTGCGTTGTGAGTTTCTTCCTTCAACTGTATATCCACGGACTCACAAGGAGATAAATCTGATAAAGAAGCAGATTTCAGCCTGGAGATCCTCACCTATTCAAATAGAGATAGTCTAAGATTTTTTTTTGTAATACTACATTGGAAAAAACAAGGACCTTCTTTCCGATCCGTCTCGTGTCTTTTCTCTATGCTCACTTGAATACAAGCTGCAAACACGTGGTTGATATATGCCCATGTATGAATCACGAGTGTTTGTTATTGAGGTGATACAAGCTTTGGTTAAGTGTGCGGGAGACTAACTGTGGCATGCGAGAGTTGTGTGTACAACATGCATGTCTCTTGGCTTTGTGATGTGCAGGTGTAGCGTGACATGGTCAACGACAATAGAGAAGGTCCAACGAAGAGTGTGCGCGCTATGGTCCAGGAGCAGTGAAGGATGGTGCTAGCTTTTTTAAGCATATCTAAGAGTCTTTTTTGAATTCATCATGTAAATCAACATTTGGAGAGCCTTGGAATAGCTTTTTTATATCTTGTGTGCACTATAGAGAGAGTAGAGAGTTAACCTCGTTGTCCATCTTTGGCTAGCCAGAAATCCGAAATATAGGATGGCTATATTTAGATATCCAATTAGAGAAGTTGTTGGAGTAATTTTTTTTCACCAAATTCTCTATTTCTAACAATTAGGAATGATATAGAAAGTCTATAGGAGTTGTTCTTAGATGCATAGTTTTTTTATACACCTAGATATACACTATGAGTTTGATTGGTTAACTGCATTAGTTTGTATCCAGGCTGGTGAAATACAATTTACCTATGTTTAGTTGCAGAGGCTCTTATGTGGGCTTGCACGATGCTCAGAGTAGGCAAATGCAACATTAGGCAGTACACAAGATTTTTCCGTATTAGACATTATAAATTTGTATAAGTCGATGTGCGCACAAAAATAAAATATTTTTACATTCTCGACCTTTACTAGAAACATGAGACCCTTAATAAAACATATAAGGAGAAATAAAAAGTAAACAAACAACCACAATTTTGTCGGACCCGACTTGTCTATGTAGAGCAACCATACATGAAGGCATTGCATATGTTTACACTTAGGTTATGCTGCATAAAATTTAATGCAAACTAAGGCTAATACATGCATCTAATCAGACTCTATGTATGTAAAAGTCAAAATGAATTCTAATTTTGAAACAGAGGAATTATTTTATAGAGAAAGAAGACATTATTAGAAAGTAATAAACAAACTTTACAAAGAGAAGTTGAGCACTAGGATCAGAAACAAAACTCCCAAGGCCCTAGAAAAACACGGTATATATATACAAGAGAGAATTATCTATTGGCCACTAAAAAAATCATTATTTCTTCTAAGGCACTCTCAAAAATCAAAGTTCCTTATCTAGTATCGAGTTGAAATTTTCTTCGTTATGTGGCACTAGCATCCATTTCCTTCATTAGTGGTGTTAAGTAGCCACCAAAATGACCCATATGCCCCTCTATGTCAGAACTATGATTTTTTTGATAAAATATATCATACTATGATTTGTAGTGTTAAATAAGTAAAGCATGAATGTTTTTGTGTCAAATAAAGAAAGCATGAATGTCGTGGTTGTGAAATAAGGAAAAGAATAGTTTTGGTTTCAAAGGTGGTTTTGATTATGTATGTATTTTCTAAAAATAATAATATAATAGGTAAATCACTATAATTTATACATATTTCTTTTTTAATTTAGAAAATATGAAATTGGTACAATTTTTTAAAACTTATAATCTATCTTTTTAAAATCTACAACTGTAGTTTTAGTAATTCCTTCATTCGTGTTTATTTGAATAATTTGAAAATAGAATTTTAAAATAAAAGAACTTGAATCTAAGGACCGTAAATGATTTTAATAAATAATAAATAAAATAGTCGTCAATTACAATCGTCCTCCCTTCACCCCTGCGACCTTTTCTACTCCCGCTCCGTTGTCCGTTCCCCCAATCACCCACCCCTGCGGCCCTGCCTCACTCTCGTGGCCTCTCCTTCTCGCCGCACGCGCTCGCGACTGGGCCGCCCAGGTCTTCGGGGGCGACGAGCACCCCAGGTATGCCCACCCTTCTCTTTCCTGCTCGAGACCGAGCACCCCAAACCCTAACTTAAGATATTTGGCTATTTGTATTCGGATCTGTTGTGATTGCAAAGATAATACATGTATTATGCACGCCTACGAACTTCAATTCTCAACCTGAACGAACCACGACAGGTTCGCTCCCTGCTCTCTGGAACCATGGGGACCTCTGCCCAGGAATCGCCTATCTGGAAGCAAATCGACGACGCCGAGTAGTAAGATCCCTCTTCCTTCTGCTCCGTCCTTTACTTACTCCTGCCCACTATGTTTTCTATCCGTGTCGTCTCTTAGGGTAGCTAGTTTACTGGCCTTGCTTATTACTAATTGATGAGTACTGGTTTTGTAATCGAATTACGTTGTCCTGAGTAGAAATCTGTTATGGGCATCTTGCTTCATTCAGTTTAGAACTGCAAGAGGAGGGAAAACATTCACAAAAAAAAGAGAGGAGGGAAAGCACGGAAGCATAGTCTCATTGTTTGATATGGTTGCTATGATTGCCGAATTTTTAGAACATCTTCGTTCCTGCCTGCTGATGATCGACGGAGCTGCAGAGTGCTTGCCATTATTTACAGTGCTTTTCATTGCATACCTGAATACCTCAATTTGCAAGGTCATGTTTTATCTGAAAAACAAGAAGAATTGTCAACTGTTTCCTTGCCCTGTTATCATCCTCATGTCTCAGCTATCTAGTCAGTGGATCGTTCGAGCAGGCGATGTTGGCTGCTTTATCCGTCGCTGATCAAATACGCACGGCCTCTTTGGAGAGCGCATGCGACCAGGACGAGCTCCTGGAGATGCTTGAATCGGCTGGGATGGTACTTGTGCAGGCACTAAAAGAACTCAGGAGGTAAATCCTTCTCAATTCCTATTTATTTTTGTACCTATACTTCCTGCCAGTACCAAATTTGGTATATTGTTATGTGCTGTAATGAGACAAACTGTTGATAATCAAATTAGTGCCTAGATTTGCCAAATGGAAAGCATCACGTGCCTACATAGTGTAGAGATTCCCTGTGCTGAACATACGCAGAGCTCATGCCTATGTTTTTTTCCTAACACACTATGCTAAATATTCCAGGACCCCTGAGATGTTTGTTCAGCTTAAGACGATGTTTGGTTCAGTGCCATCAGTACCTGCTAGAGTTTTCCTTACAGGGTAATTGCTACTCAGAAGTCTCATATACTTAGTATTATATGTAATGTGTCCATTTTTCTGTATCAATGACCGTTATATTTCTCCTCATAGAGCTACCATTCAAATGGCAGCAGGATCTGTATCTGACCTCAGACCAATCTTTGAGGAATACCTTGCCAATTGGAGATATACAAATGATGAGGTTTATGTTTTGGATGGAGGGCATGACAGCGCTTCAAATGGTTTTGTTGTTACATCTGTTATGTCAACTGGGCAGTATTTTCAGGTGGCAGAATTGTATACAGTAACATTCCTCTGTATTGTCTCTCAAGATAGTGAAACTGCTATCTCATGGGCAGAAAAAGCTGATCTGACTGAGCAAAGACGACAGGTATTTTTCTTGTAAACATTGGTTAATAACTCTTTTACAGTAAACTGAATCCAAATGTTCCATTATGCCAACTTAGGTCTATACCCAACTTAGGTCTATACCAGCTTGGGATCTTGTAGGTTTCCAGATAATTTTTATGCTAAACTAGTACGACTCCTTATATTTCCAAAACCATTTCTTTTCTGAATGAATTCCCACTACAGTATGCTTGTTTTTTTCTCATTTTCAAATGATTTTCATGCTAAACTAGGACTCCTTATATTTCCAAAACCACTTGTTTCTGAATTCCCATTATTCTTGCTTTTCTCAGTAAGTTTTACTGTTGCATTCTTTTTCATCAAGCTGTTTCCTTTTTTTTTTTTCTACAGGGCCTACTAAAAAAGCTTCATGCAATACGATTAGCTTCAAAGATAGCCCCTGTGTGCGATGGGGTCAAAAAGGTCCTAGTGAAGTCCGCTCAATCATCCCAGCATGTTGCAAATCAATTTGATCCGTTGTTCTGGTGGTTTCATTCGATTCGCCTGAAGTTTGGAAAAATACATATTGTTCTACCAAGCGGTAAGTTAATGTTTCTGTTCATGCTGCTGTTCTCAGCCGTAACGTGCTCGAAGGAAAACTGCTGGCTTGAAGAGGTAAGAACTTCTCAGTTGACAATATGATCCAAGGCACCTTGTCTGTTTTCGTGCTTTTAACAGTCAAAAGTGAACTTTTGTGTATGAATCTGCTGAACAGGACTGTGTTCCAGCAAGCTTCTTCTCTACGACGAGCATTCGTTGATGCACTTCAGCTTATGCGTTCTGTGTCCAGATGAACCCTCTAGCTGCTGTCCAACAAGTGCCACAAGCCCCTCGAGGAAGCTGGTTATGATGTAGTTCTTTATGCCACGATCTATGTAACATTATAACTCAATTGAAATAAGTCAGATGACCAGATTCTGTGTCGTGGAAAATGTAAATACAACTGCGCTTAATGCAGCATGATAATGATCTGGGTTTTTTGTGTCCATTCCCACCTTGGAGGCTCAGGCTTATAGATTATTGGTTGATTTCTTGGGGTTTTTTGGCTGCATCATCCGAGGTCTCAACCCTTAGTCATCAAAACTATTGTGCGCTGTTTGTTCATGTGGGTTTAGTTTGACCCAAGCAACCCCTAACAGCTCAGTTCATAATTGGACGATTTTATCGACTGGATGATTTCACTTTCACCATCAAGAAACCTTTCAGAAATCATTTGCAGAGTGATATGTTAGTGTTACTACCATAGCATAGGATGAGTTGTATCTTCAGCAATGGCTCAAAGAGTTGGAAAAACATGTGAATTCACAAGTGAGATCACGAGATTCAGTGAATCCAGGAACACAATTATCATTTTTGCTGTGAACAACACTGTTTTCTCTTCTTATTTTTTTTGGTTACTCTGAAAGTGTTAAGCTGTGACATCGTGGCTGTTAACATCGGGACAGTTCTGTTGATT